CCTACACAATGTGTGTCATAAGTGGAGAAAAAGCTGGAATTTGTGGACTTCTCCTCTAGAGCGTGGAGGAGCTTCTGTGATTTGGAGTTTGTTTAAAAATACATTTAAAATCATAGGAGTGATACGGTATGTTCCGCAGATCGCCAGGACCTTGAAGAACCAATGAAAGTGGATAAGCTTCAGGAACCATTGCTTGAAGCGCTGAAAATCTACATCCGAAAGAGACGACCCAACAAGCCTCATATGTTCCCAAAGATCCTAATGAAGATCACCGACCTCCGCAGCATCAGTGCGAAAGGTACCGTGCCGCCCGGTCGTCGTCTGGCAGCGGTGCCCGCGTTACGTTTCAGGGGAGACCTGGGTGGTTGCTTTGCAGCGTGCGAGACAGACCCTCGTGGCCTTCCCCTTCCCTCCTTTATGTAACCCCCGTGGTGAAACTGGTTCTGCTTCGAGCACGCACGGTTGCTGTGTGCTTCATGCAACTCGAGTGAAGCTGGCGTTCTGGGTATCAGTAGCTTGGCAGGTCATTAGCGTGAACTCTTTGTTAGTCATTTTAAGACAAGATAAGTCATTTTAAGACAAGTCATTCTAAGACAAGATAAACCCCAGAATGCAACCTTTCTAATGTTTTCAAGGGGGCGTGGGGTCAGCAGATGCTGTGCTTCACTAGTGGCTTTCCGAAAACAGTGGAAAACCAACTTCTGCATCCAAAATTCCCCCTAAAAACCTTACGTTCAGAACTGATTTGATCCAGGAGTTTGGGGATTCGGCACCTCTGATCCAAACTAGGCTACGCTCGGGTCAGTTTTGGTTTAACATTTTGTGTAGCCTGGTAGCGTGACGGGTTGCTCATGCGAGGTACGTGCAGTCAAAGCTCCGTCCCACGGGCTCCCTGAAGCACAGGTAGAGCCGGACCCTTCCGTCTCGCCAGAGGTGCCCCGCTCAGTGCTCTGCCCCCGGGCGGGGAGAGCCGGGAGGGGGCGCAGGGCGGCTTCTCCAAGCAGCCCCAGAGTGTGGGCGCGTCGGCGGCCTGTGCGCGCCCCCTCTGCCCTGTGGCTCGGCGTTGGAGGGGGG